GAAAACACCTTGGTGTCTGTGGTGACAGGCAGTGGCTGCAACAGTGGGGTGATGGGGCTGGTGCCTTCCCCTGATCAGCCCTGTCACCTCCCACAAAGGGAGGCCAGACTGCAGCTTAGGCCCGCTCCCCAAGGGGAGCAGGGAGCAGGCCTAAGCCATCAGAAGGACATCCCCTGATGGCTACCAGTATGTGAGAGGGGGCAGGCTGGGCTGAGGGACACTCCCCCTCACCCCTACCCAGTGCATGAATTTCGTGCACCGGGCCCCTAGTATTATAAATAAAATAAAATAAAAATATGACGGAAAAACATAGTTATTGTTAATATAAAAAATAAATGTGTTCCATTCAGCACTTTAAGAAAGTGGATCGGGCCCTGACCGGTGTGGCTCAGTTGGTTGTAGCGTCGTCTCGTCCACCAAAAAGTGGCAGGTTTGATTCCCATTCAGGGCATATATCCAAGTTTCATGTTCAACCCCCTGGCCAAGGCATGTGAGTGAGGCAACCAATTGATGTTTCTGTTTCCCTGGCTCTCTCAAAATCCATTTTTCAAAAGCGGATCAGAATAATTTTCTATACATTATTTATTTGTGACATATGCACTGCTTACTTCCAGAAAACACTTGAAGCTATTGTTATGAAGGCCAAGAGCAATGGGACAAATTAAAACTCTCCCTGGGAAAAATGTTGACTATAGATTGCATGTTACAGCATCAGTTTGGAAGGTTAACACCACAATTTAAGAGGTTTTAAAGCCCAATTTGTTCTGAAGGCTGAGTTTAGCTGCATACACAGCTCGCCAGGGGTCAGGTCCTGGCTGTGCCCTCACTGTGACCCACTTCTATTTCTCCTTTATCCTCTCCCAGCACCAAACCACTCCTTTGGGTGGTTTTGCTGCTCATTAGCACCCCCACTAGAGACTCGCAGGCAGGAAGGACTGAAATGCCCCTGGGTCAACAGTTTCCCTTCTGCTTCTCTGGGGCTTGGAGGGATGGTATTTGTATGTATGGAGGGGGGAGGCTTCCTGGATGAAAGTGATGGGAAGGTGTTAATTATCCATTCTTCTACAGTGCAGCACCTACATACACAGTCCACCGGTCTCCTCCTGTCTCACTACACAAACCACTTAGATCCACAAGGCGCAATATGAAAATCTTAAAGCTAGACTGAGACTCTAATTTCCATTTTTAATCTCTTCGCACAGCACCCTTACTTCTGCTGGAATTCTGCCAGCGAGAACCCCACCCTTTAAGCTTTTCACAAGGTAAGCTGCAACACTATCAGACATCTCTCAGGCAAATTCAAGAAAAGAAGCAAAGGGTAGAAGAAGAAAAATTGGAGATATTTTTCATTCTTCCTACTGGGTAGATTATTTTTAAGATTTCTTTTTTAAACATATATATTTATTGATTTCATAGAGGAAGGGGGAGAGAGAGAGAAACATCAATGATGAAAGAATCCTTGATTGGCTGCCTCTAGCAAGTCCCGCCCCGCCCCGCGCCCCCCTCCCCCCCTTACTGGGGATCCATCCTGCCACCAGGCACGTGCCCTGACCAGGAATGACCTCCTGGTTCATAGGCGACGCCCAACCCACGCCAGACGGCACCACTGGATGGATTTTAGCAGTCCTTGCATGTTTATCTGACTAAAGCTGACTGTCAACTGCAAACTTTTTTTACTACAGCTTTTTTAAAATTTAGAAAAAGAAAAACACAATTTTTAAATATCTTACACCAAAACTATTTTTCCCATACTTTTCACCACACTCATTACCTTCAAGACTATTTATGGCCAGCCCTCACTAGCAGAAAAATATAACAGATTGGCGGATTATGAAAAATGGGTCTGGCAGAAATGCCCAGGAATTTTTGAGGGTTTGGGGGGCGGAGAACAGGCATGTTTTAGTTCTTTGATGTTTGTTTCAAATTGCCCCAAATTATAAAGTGCTTCCATGCAATTTAATGTGCAAAAGGAGGCACTGCTTAAGAATTTTTCATTTGACCAACTGAGCTTTCACACACACACACACACACACACACACACACACCTCAAAAGGAAAAGTTTTAAGTAAATTGCTTAACTGTAACTTGGTATTCTTAAAAAAACAACAGCACACCTTTTACTCTACTAGGTGAAAACTACTTAGCCGTATTCATGGTAAAACAAACAAACAAACCCACAGGCTGGATGGAAATAGTTTAGCCAAGGAAAAATGCCTGGGGTGTGTTTATTTAGCATACGTTTCTCGCCCCCCGCCCCCTTTTCTTTGTCTTTTTGGTGAGGCCTGGTTAAGTTTCTCCCTGCTTCCAGGAGTGGATCAGCAACCAGACTTCTAACCTGCTTACCCGCCTCACCCGTGAACCAGCTATGGGTGCAGAACCGGCCCCGCAGACAGGCCTGTGCCCCTCCAGCCAGCGTCCGCCCTGGAATACCCGTGCGCACACCTGGCAGAGCTGGGATAAACCTACACGCTGTCCAAGCACTGGAGCCCCCTCCCCCAATAACAGGGGTAGGGAATGCTCCCCTTTCTCCTGGCCCCGCACCGCCGGAGTGTCCTGCAGAGGGGTGCTGGTACTGCCCCTGAGGGCCCAGTGGGAGCAGCCTGAGCGCCAGCGATCCCGGGTCCCGCCTTAGTCCACGCGCCCAAACAGCGACCTCAACTCTGCAGCCTGCGCGTCAGTGGGCGCGAGTCCCTCGGGATGTGGGTGTGCGGTCCCCAGAGCTCCTGCCAGCGCGGGTCCAGCGCGGTCCTCTGGGCGGAAAACTTGGAAACTCACAGCACAGAGCGTGACCTCCCCCCGGAGGAAAGGGGGCCCTCGGTGGCCCCCGCCGGTTCCATCGGACGCGCCTACACGGCCCATCCCGGCGCCCTGACTCGGGCTACTGCGAGGCGTGCACCCTGCTCCGCGCACCAGCCCGCAGTGGGGAGGTTGGGGGAGTGAGTGTTTG